CTTCGAAGTGTCCTCTACAAACTGGGAACGCTAGAGAAAAATCTAAATGGGGGGGGACCCCCCTTAAGCAAACTGGGATGCACCGCGGTGTGATAACTTGTTTCTGTTCGCGTGAAGTACGATATGCTTTACTAGCATCAAGAAAACTTATAAAACAACCAAATGGTCGAAAATTTTATATCCTTGAAGACTGTACAAGCAAGACAGTCAATCTATACAATTCTCTTCGTGCAAAGTTAGATGACAATTGTAAGCACCATGTTTACATACGTAACGGACATGTGTAATATAAAACAAAGAAAGAAGATAAACCAACATTAATTACCACAGCAGAGGATATTGATACCATTTTTCATAATATTTTATCTGATCATAGCGATGGTATAATGTTAAATTATACTCAGCCAACAGATTAGTGGATGAGAGAGCATAATATCAGTTTCATCGTCAAACTATTTTTTTTTCTATTCTTTTATTTTCTTGGCCATCATACGTATATCTCTCATGCGTTCGTTTTGGCATGGAAGAATCCTGGTCGTGACTGCCGTTCAGTGTATCCTTTTTTCCATATTAAAAATGGTTAGCTTGAATTTACAGGTCAACGGAGTGAACGAGTGTGGTTTCTTGATAAACATTCGTAGTCTTCGCGCGCGTGCTGAACGGACAGGGACTGTGTTTAAATTTGATTTGATTGAACTAATATCAAATAACGATAATCCTCTTTTTATTGCTGCAACAGAAATGTGGCTAACTGATCAGACACCATCAAACGATATTGATATGAGAAACTATAAGTGTTTTAGAAGAGATAGGACCAAAAGTACGGGCGGAGGATGTCTTTTATACGTGAGAAATGATGTTCCTATTAAACGGTAAGAGAAGTTTGAAGATACGGATATCGAGGTAATACCTTTTTCATTACGCATACCTAGGTCAGGTCTTACTGAGTATTTTCTACAGACTCGATTCAAACGCTGATGTATATAAAAACTTTCTCGACTACTTTGAGAACATTGTCTTTTTAACATCGAAATTTAAGAAATTTAATAGAATGCTTTTTTTAGGTGATTTTAATGCGCATAATGATAGATGGATATCCAATAAATCACAATCTGTACCATGCTCGACAGTGACGGGTGTGAAACTTTTTGACTTATTGGATAGTCTAAATCTATCACAGTTAGTGAGGCTACTAGACTACTTTTTCACTTTCAACTCAGTTTTTCAGTTGATTTTGTATTGGTTCGTCTTTATGAGATCCTTCAGAGGAACTAAGAGTCATAGTGAGAAAAAAATACGGTCTAAACACTATCTCACGTGATGCATATACAGTACCTTTATACTTAATCAAATAATTCTTTTAAAAAAGTTGTTTTATTGTATTCGCGTAGTGAAAAGTACAACAAACTAGTTTCTTACTTCTACTTGTGCTACTTGGGAACTTTGTTTGATAATAGAAAGAGCATGATTTCAACTTCTTGAAGTCCAGCTTCACCAAAATCTGTTTGCTCATTTACAGAAATGCTTAAACTCAGTATTATTTATTTTCAAATTTTCTCACGCTGTTTCCAAAACAGTATTGGTTCGGTGTGCTAAACAAGGATATCTTGCTTCATCAGTTAAACTTAAAGCTTTGATCATGTTTGATCCTTGATCAGTAGCAACAGGTGTATCACGAAATGATAAATTAAATGATTGGAAGATTTTTTCAATTTCATACCAAATATTAATTCCAGATTTTTCTTCTTCAAAATGTTTGCATCTTAGTAATGTATGTTTTAATTCATAAATATCATTAACAAAGAACACTGTAAAATCCAAGTAACTTCTCTTCATCAAATCATCAGTCCAAATATCAGCTGTAGCTGCTACACAATGTTGTTGAATTGATTCTTCTAACGAAGAACGTATTTGATGAGTATATTGATCAAATTTTGATAATGCCTCTTCCTGAATAGACTGTCTTCCACTAAAATATATCTTTAATATCTACTAAACCAATATTAGCGCCAATCGCAATACCAGTTTAAACCAATTTTAAAATACCATCATTTTCTAATGAATTAAATGAATGTGAACCGGCCACAACAAATTTTAATTCAGCATCTTTAAGTTTTAATATATATTTTTCTGGTAATACTTTTTTATTATAAGCAAATTTTGGTTGAATAGCAGATGTTGTTGTTTGAACGTTTTGTCCTTGATTATTAGTCAAATTTATTTTTGGTTTCGATTTACATTGTTTTAAATGATCATGTATACCATTTAATCCATAATTTTTTCGTTTACCATCATCATCTTTTTTAGAATGTGTTCTGTAAGCCATATAACAATGATTACAAACTGCCCAACCTTCTAGTATATCAATTACACCATTTTCATTTTGTTTTCCAACTAAAGATACATCATTTTTCCATATTTCATTATTACCTTTCTCGTTTTTAACTAATTCAAAAACTTTAGATTTTAACCGGCTTTTTTACTGTGCGGTAAAATTGTTCGTATTCATAATTTAGATAAAAATTAAGAAATTATTTTATTTTATTTTGCAATGTTGAACTAAGAAAAATACGAACAGTATGCATAAAAGCTCTAAAATTGGTTCCAATTTGCAAAAATTTGCAAATAGAAGCCCCGCGGGATTCTAAACTGTCCAGGCGTCCAAAAGGACCCCGCCGGATAAGGGTCGAAATCTGCCCCTTTTGTTCCAAGCTAGTATCATGTCATATTTGTAAAGTGGTCCTTGTCTCGTCAGAATATGATATTTGTTTGGTCCTAGCTTTAGACTAGAAATAAAAGAAGATGGTTTTCCTATTGCATCTCAGTGGTAGGGTTTAGTTCCGTAAAATGCTTTTATCTTTTGAACAAAGCAATATTTTGAGATGCTGCTTCCACCAATAAATAGAGCATATCAACTTCTATAGAATACATTGACAAACGTAAATTTAATATGTTTAAACAACATTTTACGAAGCTTTGATTTGATTCGGCAATGGATTACCAACGTTATGTACTTAACTTGAATGAAATCTCCTTTAATATGTTCCAAAACAGATACCATCTAAAAAACTTCTACACATATCCCTAGGTATCCTTGTGCAATTGGCATTCGAATTAGAAAAGACTATTTTCAGAAAAAATCTTTTTATTCTCGAACATACGATATTTTTTAATCCTATTTGGAGATTTAGTGAATTTATGCCAGTTAACAATAAAAATAATATAGCACAATACTATCAACAGTCACCATTAACTTGTTCAGATGAATCTGGTATAACATGAATCTCTTCATTTCTTACATAGAAAAGAAAGTATTTTCTTCATGAGACAGTTTGAAGGTTGCGAAAAAATGGAAAACGCATAACGTTGTCTATAGCTGGACAGAGGATTAACTGGCTTGGAAAAAAGTTTTTTCTCTTTATAGGTATGATTGCAAATCAAAAACCTTTTTCGCTAATATGTAGCAGAAGGAATTCAGATTCATAGTTCTTATCGTTTTGACTTATAATTTTGTTGAATTTAATATTAAAAAAGAATTTTACCACATGGCGCTTTGTTTTCAAGCTAGTTTTTGCCTGTATTTTCCCACGATTAGGACTGTAAAAGTTCCTGTTGCGTTGATCTAACGCTAACTGAAAACACAGTTACCGTTAACACAATGATAACGGTCTTTCCAGTTACCGTTGTTTTAACGCTAACTGTGTTCCCAGTTACCGTTGAAATAACGGTAACTATCTGTCAGTTAACTTTGTGGTAACTACTTTTTAAGTATCGTAGAAATATCCAGGCAGCGGCTTAAAATAGCTTCCAAAATCGTTAGGTTTCCAGTAAAACTGTTGAAACGTACATAAATGACACGATTTTTCTTGGCACACACGTGCCAGTCGACTAAACTAATCGAAATTATATAACTTCAATGTTTTATAACTGCGGTTTTTAAGGTCTCTGGAGATCTCAGCATCTGCATCCAGCTTGAGAAATCTTTTTTTTCTTAAACCGTTTATTTTCTACATTAGTAAAGTGGCAAAGCGTAATCATATATGCCACAGACTCTTATACAGTACAATAAAATATGAAGCAAAAGAAAAGAGTGTAATAAGATGAGAATAAAGTAAATGAGATAGACGTGTACAAGCACTAGAGGAATGATCTATAGCGATAATATCATTGTGACCCAGGTCCAGTTTTACGACTGCCGTAAACGACCGTATACAGTCGTATATGACCGCCGTAAATCACCGTTTGCGGTCGTATTTGCATCGTAAACGGCCGTA